ACCAGTCGGATCGAAGGAATTTTTCTTTCTTAAATTTTTATTGAATGACAGAATGTATCACCACCATGATATGTAATTATTTTTTTGTGAAATTTCTCCACTAGTTTGTCATAATTATTAATGTAAAGATAGAAACGATTCCTTCGATCCGGCCGGATTCGAACCAACGACGTCTCCTAGCAAACCGTGCGGGACGCAATGCCAACTAAACCACGGAACGAACCAGCGGACCTCACGAATTTTTCTATGTGCTTGTTGTCGGATCTTTTATATTTGGTTTTCAACGACTTTTTAGCCGTAGCGCCATCTATGAGAAATTTATGAAAGCATTTCGTCACCCAGTAAGGTAACCTTTACAGCTTTACAGCTACCAGATGATGTCGCTTTATTTTTGTTTGAACTTTGCATCAATAAAAATATATAGATTCTATAAGATTTATATTCTACGAGATTTAGGTTCTATTTTTGTTATCTTGCTTAGTACATTGTTAAAGAGTAAATGTTATTATGGACAAGGTACAAATAGTTTTACATCTGTATATAGTTTACATGGAAATAAAAAAACTGTAATATGAATCATAATTCTATGTCCAAAATGTAAACAACGGGAATAACCGAGCAAAAAATACATTTTAAATTGTCGTTAATTTTTGACGATAATAAATGTTTAGGACACTTTTCAAGCGGTCTGATAGAAATTATAACATTTCACATTTTGCAATATATATTTTAAATATCGTTTAATATAATAATTATAATAAAAGACTATATTTAAGCTCGTAAACAATTTATAATACTGGTAAGACAATGAGGATCAAAAACATTTTTTATGCTGTCATTTTGTTGTGTCATTGATGTCATTCGTGTTTCGTTTCTTAAACTCAAATGTTTTATTATCTCCATAGTACATTTGTTAAATTATTATAACATATGGTTGTTAAAGTTTTTGTTTACTGTTAATATTTCGTAATAGATAATTAAAATTGTAGAAAATGAGAACCTCCTCCTTTTTCTCCAATTCCGTTGAAAATAGAAGGTTTAGTACGCCTGCGTTCATACTTACACAATGACGTTTCTTTGTTTACATTTTGGACATCTAATTATAATTCACACTATAGACATGGAATTTTGTATTCGGGTGCTTTCGGTAACCCGAAGATTGCCGAGAGCTTAAGAAAATAATTGTGTTGTTTGCAGTATGGGCACCGAATAAGGAGTTCCTGGGTTCGATTCCCGAAAGAACCAATTTGGAAAATGATTTTTTTCTAAATTGGTTCTAAGTCTGGATGTTGTAGTAGTACCCCGGAACGAAAAGTGGTGTGCTTATCTGAATATTGTTATTTTTATTATTACCACGATCTTTAACTTTTAGTTAGCTAGAGATATTATTAAACATTCATAAATGTAGCTTAGAAATTAAAGTTATAGATACATTTGATTTCTCAATTAAGAAGCATCCATACTCCAACTGGACTACCACCGCTTCAATAAAAAAAAAATGTATTTCAAAAGTATTTTTTTAGTATAATTCATTTTATACAAATATAAACTCACAGTGGAATGGTACAAAGTCCATTTATAAAACACTAATAAAAAACATGGGATTTTTCCCAAAAAAGGTTAAACAAACATGGAGCACTCATTTATGAACGATAGAGGTCTAGTGTTAAAAATAGACCAAAAAATTAATTATAGAATATATAAATGTATAAAAAAGTGCACGCTATCAAAAAGTCACATTGTCATCAAATGAATGCTGACAAGCAATAATGTGTTAATCCACAAAAACTCGAAAATTGAGATTTTAATCCCAAATTGCAGGTTGGCGCTTCGTCTACGTTTTACAAACATTAACCTTCAAATATTAAAAAATATATAAAAACATTTTTTTATAATTATTAATATAAAAACATGTATTAATAATTATAACAAACTAGTGGAGTAATTTCACAAAAAATAATTGAATATCAATTCAATAAAAATTTTAAATATATAAAAACAGTTGTCATAAATCCATTAAACAAACCAAGAAAAAATCTTCAGGCGCTATTTTCTAAAAACTATGATCATTTTATTTGACACGTTATTCCTTGCATCCAATTGGGATAGTACATATACTCCGTACATGCAACTTAATTGAAAAAAAAAAATTCTTAAGTGCGATTCATAGCAGAATAATTCTTATTCGTATTTAATTAAGGATCATATTTAAATAAAATAAAGCAAAAAAATTCTGCTTCTGATCAATTACGTTATTATATAAATCTCACTGTACAGACGGAGTGAAACGTGATGACAAAAAATTGTAATAGAATCGATATAATTTCTACAAAAGCGCTTGTTATGCTCGTTATAAAAATGTCTACGCAGAAACGTGACTGTGACAGCCTGAGCCAGTTTGATTAGTTGACAAAAAGCTTTTGCCTTTTATTATAAACGTATTGAAATATAAGCGCTCGGAAAGTTCCGGTACTGTGAATACCGAGCATACCGATACCGCATCGACAAGCCAGGAAACGGCCTTACTGATATTTGCCGCCACTGCGTTCCGGATTTGTAGGGTAAAGATGCTGGTGAAATTACAGGCATATGGGACTTGTCAACTTATGTCTCAGGATAACGGGCGTAGTGGCAGTGCTATCTTTTGATCTTTTCGATTTTAGTCTCTAAGAGGCACTGCAACTGTCATGGATAGGAGTTTCAATTAACACCAGCCACACGAATTTTTAACCCCACAATTGGTATCATAAGAAAATAGCTTGGGTAGACTAAGGATTGAAACTATTTAAAGCAAGCGGAATGTTTGAAAAAAATAAATATACGCGACTTACAGATCCGAAAAAAACAGATTCATTTCCTATGTGTAACAATCGCGAAAAGCCAACCATTCGATATAGATTAAGAAATTTTTTTATCTGAAAACCGAATCCGATATCCTTCAATATACTTCACATTTATTCAGATCGAAGATATAAGTAAATGAACGATGGCAGCGACTATAAGATATAATAGACGCTGGTTCGAAGCCTGTCTAGTCTAGACTTTTCCTTGGTATTTGTTCAATCTTATCATCAATAATAATAACAAACTAGCGGAGAATTTTCACAAAAATACAAACAAAATAAAATATTGCAAAAAGTGAACTACTCAACTTTATAACTTTCTCTATAATTTATCATAAATAAACTAAACAGAATTTTAAATTAAATTAGTATATTACGTACAGCTAGGATCAGAGAGAGGAAAAATAAGTAAAGTCTACGGTCTAGTTGGACCGTTCAAGAAATTTATATATATAATACAATTCAATAATACCAAATGTTACATTAGGTAGGGCTAAGTAGCTGAATTAAAACGTGTGGTGTGTAACAGCGGCCAAAATCCGCCTTTAGAAACATTGGCACATCCGTCGAACCCAGTTACTTTTCGATTTCAAATATTTGTATATAGTTCAAGTTATTTACTTGGGAGTTGAAAATATATTCAGCATTTGGAGAAATCACTCAATATCCTGATTTGAAAATTCATTTTCACTTCGCCGGAACGATTCGAATTGGAATTTGTTCGGTCAAGTGGAGAGAAAAAGTGGACCAAAAGATTCAATTTCCGATTTAGAGCCAGAATAGGTGAGGGTGGGTATTCAAAACTGAATTCAATTGATTATGGTCACGTCACGTATACGACAGCTGCAGTACTAAGTTCTAAAAATTATTTTCAAATGCTTTAAGAACTATGCATCCATAAAAATGGAAGGTAACCACCAATAATATACACTATGTATGTTGATTGTATGACGTTCGGTTGAATAATAAGCTTGTTTAGAACGCTTGGTCACATTGTTCTTTTACTAATATCCCCTAATGTTGTATGTACTTATTATCATATTTTCTAAAACACCCTAATTATTATGTGACTATTTTTCTTAAATTACTTTTTATAAATTACAAAATGTATCTTAATGCGTTGTAATGCCACAAAAAGAATAAGTTGTTTATCTGAAATAATAGGATACTCTTAATCATCTCCTTAAAGAAGACTTAAGTCCAGCAAAGAGATCTGATACTTCTGATTTTGCAGACATAGACACAACAAAACACGAAATTTTTATCGCAATCAGATCAATAATAATGATGACTGACGATGATGAATGACGACAAACATTTATTTATAGATATATACATAGAAGAGTCAATACCGAAACATTTAATGTCAATTACTGACGTAAACCAATCTGTATGGTAATACAAGCAAACAAATTCTGTGCAAGATATGTTTATCAATTCAACAGAAAGCAATACCGATGAGTCCCACGCAACGAATCTATTAATATTCCTACCCTATTTGTCTCTGTTTACTCGTTTAAATTCTATTTACGGAAACTGAATTGGAAATGAGGTGCCTACCTACCTTATTCTATACAATGGAGAGATCAAACAGTATTGCTATTTGAACTAGGTCTTCAAAGGTACAGGAAAGTTCATTGTCGTAAATTTCACACAGATGGACTCAAATTGATTGTAATATATTGCAGTTACTTTGCAATGTGTAATAATTCAGAGTACAGGAAATTCCACAAATTGAGACTAGAAACTTTGAATGATTGTTTGGCATTTTTTCCACTAAAATACTTGTCTTTGGCAAGCTTTCAAGAAAAAGGAATCTAACAGAAAGACGGTCGAGATACTACAACGCTACAAGAATCTCATTTCCACTACATCGGGAAGTATGCCTTACATTTTTAATAATTGTAAAATCTTGTACTCGTAATAGAGCCTACGTATACTACCTTCGTACGATGGCGGGTGTAAAATTAATGTACGAGAAGCATAGAACAAAAAACCGTTTCTCGGAGTCAAAATCTTAAAACATGTAAGCATGTCATTATCTAGCAAGAACTATTTATTATTCATTAGAACCACTTATAGTCGCAGTAAATTAACCATACCTGCTCATTTGAGTAAAGAAGTAGACAAAATTGTAACTTATGCAAACTGTCTTACCTAGTAAAGTTCTGGGTTGCAACGTGACGCATCCGGTATGGATGTACTCGATTAATTGACGGAACACGTCGGGCTCGAACTCCTCGATGATCAGGGTTTGATGCTGCTGTGATGATGGCTGCGCACAAAATTGCCTTTCCAGAACACTAACTTGTAAACTTAAACTAAATAATGATTTTTAAGTTCAATATGGATCTTGAAACAATTAGTACTATATATAACGCGATGAAGACGGCCGTCATAGGAAAACCATTCAGTAATGAGTCGATATGGGATGCCATTGTGTCTTGTAGCATGACTGTATAAGAGGGACTAAAAAAGAACAACTAAAGGTATGAAGGAACAAATAGGTACAACAAATTTAGATAAAAAAGATATCAAGGATATAGTGTAAGGTAGTGGACTATGTTTAGGGTGAGTGATGTGAATAAAATAATAGAGAGTGAGTCTGTGATATTAAAGACGAAAAGTCCGGTTGGAGACAAGACTGAATCAGTCAGGGCAGTAAGGCGACTCCTGAGAAGGTAACCGAGGACGTTGGAAGATTTAAAGGAAGAAACAACTCCGGCAGACGGAAGACCTAAATCGGCACAGGCAAGAGGGTCCACAGTTGGGCACTGATTAACCATTTAGTAGGTTGAGCATTTAATAGTTTTAATGCTGGTGCAAATGGATCCACAGCTGGTTTGTTATTAGCTGCTGATAACTAAAATGTGTAGATTATGCCCGAGGGACTCCGCGTTCTTCTAGAGGAAGAACTTCGGTGTGGTAGGGTTCCAAAACAATGCCGGCGCGTAGGCGTGGCGGATGTTAGTACAGGGGGCTTACTGTGAGCTTATAAACAGCCAGCCAAGTTCCATGCAATCCACTTGACGTGGTAAAACTGAATTGCTTAAATTCGTACCATGACCTACACAAAGTTGAAAAGGAATGACATGCCAGGATGACTTGCTTTTTAAACGTTAATTATTGTCTATGGCTGGCTAGCTGACATCTAACAAGAGCGAGACACTAACTAGACGGAACTACATACTAAATCATATGAAAGAAATAGACAGATTTACTATCCTGAGAGCGTTCAAGCACTATTAACCGATTGTGTTCAAAATGAGAATAATTACATTATTTCATTTATTTTATTGTTGATCGTACTTACTACGTTGTTTTGTAACATCGGTAACTTTTCAATCATACTTTATAATTTGTCGTACGACAAAATTACGTGCCATATCTAGTCATTATCATTGAAATTTATAAGGTGAGTTTGTAATTTGATAACATATTTGGAACGTATCTAGTATTCGTACATTCTTATTGATTGCATTAAAGTCAAATTTGGCACTATTAAAAAGTTGTTTTACGCTTTCCGGTCAATAAAATTATTAAAATGATTAAAATTCCATTTAAAAATTGCAATAACCTTCATGCTAATAATTTATCAACACTTTTTTAAAGATTGGGGACTCGAACTAAAATTTTCAAAAAATACTCAACAGTTAATAAGTATTTATTTATTGATAATTGGCTATATACCCTAATAAATATAACAATTAATTATGAAACTGAAAATATAATAAAACTTAAACGAAATTCCTGAAAAATGTAATAAATCTAAAAAAGTTAGTCACGGAGTAATTTTTTTGAAATGCTTATTTTTACAGATGAGGCCGCCACTTGCATGGCAAATGGTACGTCATGATTTTGCTATGAAAGAAAAGGAGAACGGATTTCGAATGGGGAACGTAAGCTGCAAGGGAAGTTAATTGTTTTTGTGAGGTCATAGTACGAATTTGACAGGCAATCCAACTTACAGGCTTAAACAGGATTGCTCATACTAGGCCCCCAGGTGTACATCTCATCCCTTATGGAGGAAAGATTCCGGGCGTTGCGATTTCGGTGTTGTAGGGTTTTTTCTGATTTTAAAGTATAGTAGCGGGGAAGATATTTAGTATCAGAGGTCTGTTGAAGTTTGCATCTCAATTTAAATTAGGAAAATCTTTCGGATGGCATTAGCAAGCCCAGTATAATAGGATGTCCACTGTCCTCGAACTCAGACGTGAACAATGAGAACCCTAACACGTCTGCAAATGATAGAAGAAAATACTTAATAATGAAACGATTAACATTAGACGTTTATACCAAAAACGCTGATTTAAACTCTTTTAAAGATCAGGGAAAATGCTTAAAGAATGAAGAAAACTCCGTGATTGCACCAAAATTTGTGCCGCAAGTGTACGGTTGTATGTAATATTTTTATACATGCAAAATGAATTCCCAACGATACCGTATATCGCGGTATACGTCTAAAGACGTACTAATGTAGAAGATAAGATGACGTAAATAAGCGCGTTGTAAACAGTTTTAAAATCCATATTATTTCGATAAATTTCTAAAATTTATCACATGATGTATTCCTGTGTAAACAAACTTCACTTTGCTGTGCCCCATCGATCGGAAAGCTGATATGAATTTGCATAAGTTAATTTGCATGTTAAACGGTTGTAGCGTCAATTTAATGAATGATTAAGGAAGCACTTGATTAGAGGAAGAACGGAAACTTGATATAGTCACAACGATACTTACTTATATGATTAGAATTATAGTCAAATAAAAAGCTGAAGAGAACAAATTTAAAATACGAATAATAATTCAATCAATGAATGACAGATTTTCCACTGTGAACGTATTTTCTAAATCTACTGACAGTGCAACAGATTTATGATGTTTAAGAAAATTATATAACATTAGTGATATCGTACACGTGAGACAACGTCAAAAGTGGTACTTACGAGTTGTTTAATTTTGTATTACTTAACAGTCAAAATTTACATGCAACACAAAAGCCTTTTTCTAAAACTTATTGAAAAGAAACTTAACGAGTTGAAATCAAAACAAAATTTAATTTATACAAAAATCCTATCTACAATAGTGTAAAAAGTGAAAATGTTTACAATATCGAACGAACACCGATTACTAAAAACCGTTATAATTAAAAATTCCCGTTAATTTTGCCTTTACCTCTTGTATCGGAGCCAATTGCTGCGCGAAAGTCGATCTCTGCGATAAACACAGTAAAAAAAGTCGTATCATTTCCCTTGACTATCAATTCTCAAATTGATATATATTGTTTCATTCACGTGAGTTGCCTTTTGAGCGTCCAATTACTAGAAATTTCTACGTCTCAATGCAATAAGTGCGAAGCTTTTACCCCTTGACGTAACTTCCACATACGTTTGCTTTCGCCATAAAAGCGAAGTTCAATAAAAGAAACCGTTCTACAAAGGAAAGTGTCAGCAATCCCGCTGAGTAGATCTTGAGTAACTTTACAGAGAAGTAATAAACCTGAATCCCCCGTCATATTGGACTTTCTTATTGCATGACGTCACAGTCGAGTAGTAGGTACTTGATCAAAGGAAGTTCGTCAGTGAAAATCTTACTTAAGTTAAAGAATTTTCGTTTCTTCTGATCCGCGTTTAGCTTTGTGAATAAATTTGACCTATTTACATTAAATCAAATTGTTGGGATAGGTTGTTCTTTGTACATACATAATTATAAATAATTAATTATAATATTTCTTATTAGTAGATTAAGACGTAGGAATGATTACATATTCGTTACTACGGACATAACGTAGTTTTAGTATTAGCAGTATGAATGGGTTTTTTGTTGAATTACAATAACCATATGCTTGTAAGTAACAAAAACATTCGAGTACCTTTGCAATAATCTTTTACACCTCATTGCCTTTAAAGTACAATTTGGCTATTCTTTAATGAAATTTGAAGCAACTCTTAATAAATAAACGCTTTGCACCTTCAACATCATTAAGTATGTAAATGTAGATTGTGTGTTTTTGAATGGACACAACAAGGATTTTGGATTTATTAATTGCCAATTTGGTACACAGACATGATTCATCCTAAAGGGACATCGAGCATTCCGAACAAACTTGCACTTCTCGACAAACATTGCAACAAACTGACCTGTTGAGCGGCATTTTGAAGATTCAGCAAGGGCTCTGAAGATCTTTTCAGGAAGAGACGTAGTTTATTCTCCCTTGGCGCTGGTTCTTTCTTCCTTTGGGGACTTGGAGCTTGATAGAGCATCTTTTGAAAAACCCTGTTGACAAATTTAGCCTTATCAATCTTAATTTGTTTTATCTAGTTTGTACATGTAAGATTTTGGATTTTTTTTTGATGGTCCTGCAAGTAGTACAATAAGGCTGACGACATTCGTTTTGAAATGAACAACTTTTAATGCCAGTCTCAAATAGTAGAAGAGAGTTTTGAAAAACTTAAAAGTAAAAAAAACCCTGATACGAAGCGAACCCTAAAAAACTCAATAAAATCACCAATAATTAGTAAACCAACAATTTCTCAAGATTAATTTAATGCGCCCAAACATAAATAGATCTTTTGTAAATAGTTGAGGAATTAGATAGTCTCCAGACTCGATACAGCATTCCATCAAGGTTACTATATTATTAAGTGGAAGTAAAATAAAGATTAAAAAAAAAATGAAAGAGATAATGGAGATCCTTACACTAACTTGAAACAAAAAGATGCTGATGATCTTTAAACAGCCGAACAGATATTTATAATAAATATAACTTCAAATAAAAGAAAACCGCGTTTAAAACATAGAATGTGAAAATTAGGGACCTATGACGCCAGATATTCAGACGCATAGACAAATGCTTCAAACTTATAACTCCCCTTTTTAAAAAAAGTGAAGTATATCAAAATAAAAGAAATAATCTTTGTATTAATAATTATAACAAACTAGTGGAGTGATTTCACAAAAAATAATTTCATATCAATTCAATAAAAATTTAAAACAAATAAATCGAAACAAGTAAATAGTTATACACAATCACACAATTATGTTTATTATCATAGTGAAATTTCAAATTTCAAATTAGTAAGTAGACGTATTTACTAAATAGTGTAGTAGTGGAAAGATGATTCCAAAGTTAATATGTCTAGGAATTTTGAGAAAATCATTAATATAGGGGGAGACACAATTAAAAGAATAATTAAAAACAAGAGGATGATTTGTAAACATCTCTTCACAGATTCACAGTTATACAACGAGCCCCTTTGGCAAGTCAACGTGATCATTGTTATGAGGATACTATCCTCCTAGAAGCTCCGATCAATAAGACTTCTTAGCCAGTAACAAAAAAATTATTCAAATAGATGAAATTTCATCTAGCACCGCTTACTTAGATACGCTTCAGTATTCATTTTTTGTTAAAAATTAAATTTATATCAGGTTTGTTTTTTTGCTAGCGGACTCTGGGCTTTGAACAAAAAGAGATGGTTCCATTTATACACCAAAAAGGGTTGAAATTACTTAAGACTTGAAAATGCGCAAATAGTCGTCGTCTACAAAGAACTTTAATTATTCCTGTGAGTCCGAGACAAAGACTTCATAGCATGCAAAATGTTCAAAACAGCCACAGGGGATAAAAAGGCATCTTTGTAATATCATTTCTTGTCAGCCTTTAGATGTGATTTCTGTATATAGCATTTTAAAAAATTAAAAAAATCAACTACTTTTACAATGGAGACTCAAATCAACTAAATGTGTGAAAAACTATAATAGCACATTTTCAAAGGGTTCCGCTATTGCGGGTACCACTTCTCCCAATGTAACTAGCGGCTTTTTGACCAACGACAACAATTTGAGTTTTGAAGCCCAGTATGCTATTTAGTACTTTATCATTTTCAATTAAACCAAATATGACTAAATAAGACTCAGATCCAAATGTATATATGAAACAACAAAGTAAGAAAATCATTGTTTATACGTCGAAAGAATATATAAGACGCAATAGAATAACTACATCCCTCCTACACGCCTTTACGTATGAGGTGTCGCATACATAATAAATCCACTATCGTCTGAAGGATTTCATTGAAGCATCTGGAAATCTCCAATACGAAAGGGATAAGAGGGTTTCAAGTGGTACGTTGTACGATTTAAGGGTTCAATCAGTAAATATTACGGTGCGATATTGTTACGGAGTTCTGAACCATAAAGTTGATTTTATGAAACTGGAAAGCTTATAACTAAGCTTAAATCAATCAATGTTAATATTTTGAAGGTAACCAGTAGGTAATTTTCCAAATCTGTTGATGATATTTTGTATTCCTGATTCTTATTAAAAAATCTATATATTATAGATAGATGATATCGGTGGCCTAATCGTGTATTTTGGGTTTTGATTTAGAGGAGGTTCTGGGTTGCCGATCCCGATAGGATTATTTTAGTAAACGTTTGGAAATTGTGTCTGATCTGGGTGTTTTTGGTATTTTTTTAGAGTTTTCTAAAAGAGAACGGCCTCCGTCGTCGGTAGTTGTCTTTACTGTGGGCGCTGCATGAGGACCACTTTCGTTGCTGCGCGTGCAATACCGCTGAAGAGCACTTTGTAAATACCGCGTTTCACGATTTTACAGGAGGAATAAAAACTTAATATCTTAGCTATTCAACTATATTTTACCGACTGAACTCTGTAGCTACTTCTTTGCGATTCACTTTGTTGAAAAATAACGTAAGTTTACCCATAACTTGTTTAGATTCCGGATAAAGTCACTAACGCGGTTTTGTAGTAACAAATTATAGAAAAAGTAGTATACTGTTAATAGGTGTGCGGGATTGAAATGAAACATTTTATTAAAGGTTTGATTTTATTACTGTCACTTTTGTTTTTTTTTCTGTCACTTTTGCTCTTTCGCTGTATTGTCCCAGAGAAGAGCTTCTGCTCTTCTCTGGGACAATACAGGGTCATAATAATAAATTAACAAAAAAGGTTCTAAAACAAACATCTTAGAGCAAAAAAGTATTATCAGAAAAACAATAAATTGTTACTATTCGTAGTTAAATTATATAGAAATCTTTTTATAAGTAAGTCAAAAAGAAGGTAAGTTCTCGGGATTAAAATGTTATTAAATTTTGAAGTTTGAAAATATGTGCAATTAAGAATAACAAAAAAAACCGTCTCATAAGTTTTCTGAAAATCACAGCAGCTTAATCTTGTTAAATGTCTTGCACAAATCTATATATAATAGTATCTTGCTCTGTAGCCACGCCACCTTATTTTTTTTATTATGACATTACTCACTATAATCTTAGAGGATGGAAAAAAATAATTTCCATAGTCTAAGACTATAATACACAGCTGACGTACATGACTTTGCGTCATACCCTTGGCAGGCGTTTATTTCAGGAGACTCGTCGGGTGTGCTGAAGCTGTAGTCAAGATTTTGCGTTTGGGTATGGAGTGTTACATACCATACTCTGATGTACCTAATGGACCCCAAACTCGTCTATGGTTTTACGCTGATTGTAGTTGTGCTGAAACACGTAAACAGTCCGCGTACCAAGCTTGGGCAGATGCTTGACTACGCAAAGCTCCGAGTACTCAGAATTTGAAGAAAGCTTTTAATAAGGCCGCCAAAAAGCGCAAAAATGTGTTACGTGGGGCTAAGTTCGACCATGTGCGCCGCATAGGGCTCAAACTTGCCTCTTATCCAGCAGGCAGCAAATTCTTTTGGTCTCTAGCCAAAGCGGTCGAATCTAATTTTTGTCGCTCATCTTTGCCACCTCTACTGAGGCCAGATGGCTCGCTGGTTCATACTGCGGAAAAGAAGGTGAATTATTAACTTATTGCCTCACTCTTTGCATAGTGTTCCGCGTTTGGATGCCGCAGGGAACCTACCACCTACTTTAACTCAGGCTGGCTGCACTATGTCGCCAGTTCGCATACGTCAAAAAGAGGTACTTAGAACTCTGCGAAATCTAGACATAAATAAAGCTAGCGGGCCAGACGGAATTCCAGCAATAGTCCTGCGTAACTGTGCGCCTGAATTGTCTCCTGTTCTCACACACCTGTACCGCCTATCACTTGAGACTGGTGTAGTTCCCAGGTCATGGAAGCTTGTAAACGTGCAACCTGTGCTGAAAAAGGGAAGCAGAGCTGACCCTGTCAACTACAGACCTATCTCAGTCACTACCATACTCTGCAAGACTATGGAACGTGTACTCAACAACCGTCTCCTATCGCAGTTTGAAGACAACGACCTCCTTAGTGATCACCAGTACGGATTCCCACGAGGGCGATCTACTGGGGATTTTCTTGTGTTTGCCTGTCACATATGGAGCGAGGCTACAGGAAAGCAAGGCGAGGCACTTGCAGTGGCTTTAGACATTTCTAAAGCCTTTGGCAGGGTCTGGCACGCAAGCCTTTTAATTAAGCTTTCCTCTTATGGGCTTCCCACTGACCTTTGTAATTGGACCTCGGATTTATTGAGTGAACGTTCGATTCGAGTAGTCTTAGAAAGCTACTCTTCCAAACATACGGCGATAGATAGAGAATTCCTCAGGGTTCCGTACTATGTAACGTACGTAATGATATGTTAATTCCTTTGCATATGCTGATGACAGCACAGTTGCAGATAGATAATTGGTACTTGACCAATGCAAGGGTCAGTGGAGAGGAAATTCAGTCTTGTCGATCCATGGTTAGCCGTTTTGATTTGACATATCTTGTCAAATTTAACGCTACCAAAACGCAGGCGTGTCTATTCTCAACAAAACGGAGTTCCTTTGAGCTGACTGCGACTTTTCGTATATATTATATCGATATATTCATACCGATGCCCGACTGTCTCCATTTATTTACCTTTTTATAACTTTGAAATAATAAATTTTAACATTACTTCGTCTTAATGAATTTGATCTCTTAGTTCTCCTAGTTGTAGGTTTCGTGCAAAGATCGTGTTTTAACTTCTTCATTAATTTGGTAAATACGCGGACTTGCGGCCAATTTCAGAAATGCTACTGTTTCGCGTTATTGTTTCGATGGCAAAAATGAGGTTTCTTAGAGGCTAATTCAAATTCTGAGAGATCTGGCTCAGGCGAGTTAGCGTTAAGGACCTGTTGGCGCGATATTTCAATTTTGTACCTTTTGCTGTTACGCGGTATTTATCAATTGCTCTTCCGCGATTTTGCACGCGCAGTAACGTTTGTGAGATGAACTTTTCGAAATAATTCTGATCTGGGTATTCTGGGTATTGATGGGAGTAAATTCCGTTGCTTCCGATCTTATACTCATAGTACAGAGAATGTCCTTCTTTGAGACCAAGTAATTGGTGTGATTATCTGGCACATTATTCTTATTATCATGTACTGTTGAAAAAAAAATTGATACCTAGACATTGTAGACTTAAAGTGACATATTATTACAAGAAAATGTAATTGGATATTAGAGTCTTAAGAGGCAACGTCATTAAGCTCATTTCCTCGAGAGTTTATTACAAAAATTTTACGAAGACAATGCGAGTTTTTTTATCATCTAAAAGAGAAGCAGAATACTTTTTAGTCATTTTGTTTTCACTAATAAAGTGTGTTGAGAGTATGTGAAATTCATTAAAAGGAATTCACTGTCACTGTTAGCCTATCGCAATGCACTGTTGTGCATAGGCCTCTCACAATGTGCGCCACTTTCATCAGTCCGCAGTTTGTCGCAAACATCTGCTGCCGGCAGCCTTTCGTAGATCGTCACTCCATCTGGCCAGATGCTTGTCTTGCACTACATTCTATGAGATGTGACCTTCACTCAAAAATTTGTTTCCTCTATCGGTTAAGAAATTGTATTAATAACGTATTTGAATATTTCTACGCGGATTCAAATGATTTTTTAGCTGTTGATATACTTATTTCAAAACGTTACCTGCTCCGAGCAGCCAGTACAGCCTTGACGGCGCATACTGGCTCTCTTGTGTCACCAACGAGGAATGTGACATCACACAGTTCCGGCATGGAGGCGAGGAACTTCATGTCCTCAGCCAGCCCTGACTTGTTCTCAAAGGTGCTGAGGTCAGGCTCCGCCTCCATGGCCGCTAGCACCCCGCTTCGCATTGACGACTGCAACAATTTCAAATATTACAAAGTGTACTATTTCCTAAGACTAGCTCCTTTTTGTATCATCTATGTAAGCAATATTCAATTCGTCCTAGTCATAATCAGATGAGAAAAATGAACACATTTTGAAATAAGTCGGTAATTACTGCTAAATGGAAAAAGCGGTAGCAAGTAATGCGATCCCTAAAAAATATAAAGAAAGTGAAAATGGAAAGATAAGAAAAGGTAGAATATTGTACCTTGTGTACACAAGAAAATAAATAGATAGAAAAGAAAATGATCCCGTTTTCTGTCTATTACACAAAATGGTTCTAGAGTACTGTAATGATGATGACTACTAGTAGTAAGTAAACTACTTCTAAATACCGTAACCTTTACTTAAGCAAACTACCCGTATATTTGGGAAATGAAATTATTTTTTCGGATCTAAATCGCGTAAATTTGTTTCTTTCTAAACAAGCCAACGCTTCGGGCCCTTTACAGGTCTTATAGTCACCGCTAACTGAGATGGTAAAGTCATCAACCAGTTATATCAATGATTAATGCAAACTACCCTATTTTTCACTTATTAAATAAAAACCTTATTTTCAATTTTTCCAACGAACGTTCCAACTTACGCTATATATTTTTTACAAATTAGTTTATTTTATTTTTATGAACAAATATACGCGATCCGAAAAAAAGTGTTTCGTTTCCTATGTCTAAGAATCGCGAAAACCTTAAAACTCGATACCATTATATGTTTCTTAATTATATTTGCAAGTGTTGTTATAGTCTAGAGTAAAACTTGTAAAGGCTTTTTCATAAATGTAAATAACTGCTCCTAATTAAGTATATAAAATATATAATACTGTGGAAATATTAATTGGATTAATACAAAAAGGGATTAACAACAAATTAAGGATTAGAAAGTTCTAAAAGACACATTTGTCTTTTGCGCAAATGCCATTGCGTTTGGGATAATAAGCAATCTCTGTCGGATTAGATTTGTCCTTTAGGAAAGCTTTTTTGGATTAGAAGTGGAAACACCTTTTGCTATTTCTTTATTGACTGACTTTAAAAAAGGAGGAGATTCTCAGGAAGCTGACGAGCAATAACGTGTCAACCAACGTGACGAACATAGCTTTACGAAATTGGCACCTAAAGAAAGAAGAACGAGAAGACTCGTCGATTTTGATAGTTTATTCCAAAATTTACTTTTACAATGAAAACTTTTGCTGTTAATTGTGCTTGTTGTTGTTGATGTTTTAGGGAATTATAGTAATAAATAATAATTCATCACTCCAGAAGTGACAACAGCAAAAATTTTCATTTTTTAAGTAAATTTCACAACAAACTGGCAAAAACTATTAAAAAAAATGTTTAGGTACTATTTACGCAAAATTATGATCATGTTAGCCAACATGTTATTGCATATCAGCATCCAATTGGACTGTTTTTTTACGGGACTACTCCGATATTTCTCAAACACGTATATTATAAAGATTATTCAGGAGATGGCAAAACTTTCTATTTATTTTGAACTTCTTATCAAGGGCGTTTATCAAGGTAAAAAGCAGTATGTGAATATGAAGGAAATAGATGTGAAATCAGCGTGCAAAATTTGTATATACAATCATTGACTTACAATTATGTGGACGTCGGGTCTGCGCTAAAAAGTGTCCGAACTTATAGGGCGTTAAAATCGTATACAGAGCGTCATTCACGCTTTAGTCTTCGTTTGTTCGTCTGACAGCGAAGCAAGCAAAATTAGACAGTACTGCGATGACATTACAATTTAAATTTAACGTTTTAGCTTTTTCATATTCCTTTACATGTCACTACGTTTAAATAGGTTGACTTGGGACATTTTTTTCGTGGTTTTTGTATTAGACCCGTCGTCCATTTATTTGTAAGTCAATGTATACAATGCACTTCGTTACTTTATGCTTTGAGATACGAGTTTGAGAAAGTAAGGCGACGATTGATTTCAATGATTCTTATATTCCACCTCTAAGGGTAGCAAATTAAGGGATGAATCCGGTTTATTGGATTTCACCCACTTTCCGTTAACCGATTTCCATAAAACTTAGCTTTATCTAATAGGATAATTGTACTTTTGAGGTCGGTTAAAAACACTTTTCAATTATTTATTTAACGCTAAAGTGTTTTAATGTAGTTTTTATTACTTTGCCGTAAATGCACATAATAATTAACAACCGAATATAAATAGTTATAAAACTGAAATAATTATATTTTGAGGAGAAAAATACCCTATGTATTTTAACAATAGTATAATATTGTTTTACTTACTTCATCCAAACTAAAATGCCTGGTGATCATAATTGTATCCATTTTTAATCAATATACTTTTAATACTCAGATTATGAATTTCAAGTACATTCACAACTAGAAGTTTAATGAGTACCAGCTGTGGTACAATCGCGGCCACACAGCGCGACGTCCTGACGGCAACTGACAGAAGAGAGGAAATTTACTCCGACGAAGCTTTCAAGTATGAAAAGTAATGAGTGTGTGGTGTAAAGGAACAAACCATTTTACTTTCATAGGTTTTTTTTTTTATATTAGACTTAAGGACATAAAACTTAACGGCAAAATTGAGTGTACGCACACATATACAAATATTCTTTTTATGTATCGAGTTCTTAGGTTTTCGCGATTGTTACACATAGGAAATGAAACTATTTTTCCGGATTTAAATCGCGTATATTTGTTTTTTCAAACAAACCCAAAGGTTTCATTTCCTATTCTTTTTATGTTTAAAAATATGTACATTTTAATAACAGTATTTTAATACTCAGTTTTTAGTAATGGATCAGTTAGCAAAATTGTAAACTAAACAAAAAGCTTTAAAGCACAACAATAAAACAATAACAATATCATTTTTGTTTCCCAAGAAAGAATTATCGAAAATCTCTATATCTTACACTTTAGGCCTTATTGAAAATAGTAATTTGATTTTACAACAAAATTTTTGTTTGAATACATTCCATATTGTTTTAATCTTCATAAATTTATTTCTTTAGGATTCTTTTCTAAATTTTTTTTCCCATCCTTTTCTTTCTTCCTATTTCAATGCGATCTGCTGTTTTACGTTTTTCCAACAGATTTTCAGCAAATTACTGAATTTTTAGAAAGATATATTTTATAATTCTGAGCATAATGTACTTATTTGTACTATCCCATCTAATTAAAAATTTAATGTAATAATTATCAAAATTATTGTGTGTAAAAACATTTCAAAATTGAAAACATTTGAAATTTCTTAGAAAACTATAAATAGAATTCAGAGAGTTAACGAATGTCATTAAAGCGTAACCAATTACCAGGTTTAAATGAAACGTCGTAACCAAAGGTCAAAGTTTCCGCAAACATCAACTGTATTTTCATGTTAGTAGAGCTTTTTAATTAATTTTCAATATTGTTTAAAACGTGTCTACCTATTTCCCAAATGTGTTTGTCAGGTACAAATAGCGACCTAAAGTCGCAACTGAATTCAATATTGATTTTATACGTTCAACTACCCTTGTTAAATTCAGTGAAAATTTCAGCTCTATTTCATATACTGTACGTAAGAGGAACCATGCAGAAAACGTCCATATTTCCAAGGACACAGAGTCTTTTATATGAGATTGGTCAAATTACTTGCGGGAATAGACTTATGCCTACAATTCTTGAATATTGGTACCTTGTATTGCATACGCACATGAGATTCGATAAGTTTATGTGTAGGTGATGAGCGTATTTACCAGTCTGACGTTCTACGAGCGCCCAGATGTTTCGCCCACGCAATCGTCTGGAGTAACGCCCACAGTTAAGCATATAGATACCCTTATTGGTTTAACAACTATAGGAAAACAAGGCCTACCTGTTGATGTATCTTCTTAGCCTCAACGAAAATGCACTTGCACTGTATTGTGGAGTCTCTAAGCCTCATAAATCGTTTAAAAATTTAATGAAAACTCTACTTATGGACTAGATACCCTTCGCTTTAAACAACTCATGGCCTACGTGAACGGTGATAAAATTGTCACAGTAAAATAGACTGGTATTTTTCAATACAAACTTACAGTAAATTTACTATGATGTAGAATTACAAAGCAAAGAATGTATATTCATAAAACACGAAAGATATTGTTAGATGACACTACACAACGTACACAACAGTGAGCAATAGCTAGAACGCATGCGTTGTGTCTACTGCGCATGCTCCTATTTGACATCAATATGACACCGTCTGGATAAGAAGGTCGGTGCTCGGTATTCAATGGAGGAAGTTGAAATTCATGAATGAATGTGTTTCAGTTTGACTTTAGGAATTTTAATGCCGCCTCCATTGCTGATTATTGCGCCTAAATTTTAATTTGTAGATAATGACATATCCAATTTGCTTAAACCACGCACGAAAGTATTATGAAATAATGGTTCAATAGGGATTTTGATTAAACAATAGTAAAGCTGGATACAAAATTTACTCGTAAGAATAGAAATTATTATGATAAAACTGTGTGTTAAGTTGAAAGAAACGGACCAAAAATTTGCAGTAAAATGTTCAAATTAGTAGTTTATCGAACTTAAGACACATAATAATAATAAAAAAAGAATTGTTAAACAAAATTGATATTATTTTTCTTTATCAAAAAACAATGTCAATGAATAAATTTAAAGTTTATTAAAACGGTAAAACAGAACTTGGAGGACATCTATCAAGACCGTCTCAATAAAATACCACAAAACTAGTTACCGGAACTGGATACAGCATATTTACCTATCTTAAAGAACGTTATACACATATTCTCTCTGAATAAATAAATCTCTATTTTTAATCTACGGTTGTGTATTTAGAAAAATGAAAAATTTTATAAATATGATTACAAAACTAGATTTTTCGCCTTTAATTGTTTAATCATATCTTATAATTCAATTAGAACATATAATCAATCATACTTTTTAAAATTGCAGAGTTTTTAGAGTGAAAAACAGTACTACATTATATTGTACAAAACTATATGTATCATTTCAGTGTTTGCTTAATACGTGGAATTAAATACGATAATTTGATGTGCGACTTTCAAAGTTTACGATAGTAGGTTATTCAATGCTGCTCGCTCAACCATAACGAGCTCTTCGCCAGTGCAGAAATTTGGCATTGAATTTACGTCTATGACTTTGAAAGTCATAATCGTTTTGAGTCTTAACCGTCGCTCTCTCAGAGATAAGAGGTGGGAATAATTTATTAATAACCGCTTTATTGTTACAAGTTTTAGATATGTAATTTGCAACAGTACAGTTTCAAACTTCCACAATCATAGGCTCCAAATATACCTTTGTTTTCGGATTCGAAATAGAAATAACCTTTTACGCCCAATAGATGTAATGCGTATTCCACCAAAAATGAGAAAAGGGTATCAAGTTAAATCGAGTCATTGGGCCGGTATTGATATAGTATATTAAAACTAGTATGGTAACTTAATACAAACATAGCAGCGTGTCTTGTATGTGTGCACGCCCTCTGCGCACCATGTACGGAAGCACACATTCCCATAATGTCGCTGTGCACTCGCATTGGATAGCGTTCATTATACAATTAAAGTGTTCGCTCAGTGTTCATAAAAAAAAATCAAGTAGTAGATATGTTCATTGTAGTCAAGTGTAAATACGCAATTGTACAGCATTTCATTTCCATTTCATAATCATACTCCCAAAATCGAGATATTATTCTACGATACTGGCACAAAAATATCAATACGTAAGAAAATACTGTGATCAATGTCTTAATTTTTTCAAATTATGTTTACAACCTAATGTGACAACATTACGCTCCGAAGTATAGGCATTTAGGCGCCAAATAGGCGAGTTGCCCTACTTGTCTTATTAAACGTACTATAATATTGATTTATGTTATCAATATGTTTTGTATGTCGTAAGAAATAACTACCACACCTTATTAAATCTACCATTTCTGGTAATCACTACCAAATCGAATTACACACGTAGACTTCTATTCTATCATAGATATACGTACGATGCACTAAAGATCTCTGATTAATCGATCACTTTCGGTTATTTTTCTTCAATATGGACAGGGTATGGAAACTGCTCATGGGTCTTGTACACTTTATTTCTCAGAGTGACCGGCGTTGTGGCTGTGCTCTTCAAATCTTTATGGGTGGCATTGCAAGTGTTATGGGTAGGCGTATCGCTTGCTACAACGCGTACAACATGCTCGTCCCGTCACTTGAAATCGTAAAAAACATATTATTGTAACTGGTATGTGACCATACTGGCATCTGTGAAAAATATAGCGAACCAAAAGCTAACAAGAGGGGTCGAGTTGCTCACGTCGTTACGGCGTTGAATTGGTGCCGAAGTTCAGCGCTGAAAATGTAAACGTAGCTGTTACGTTTAGTGGGTTGTTACATAGATGGCGCTTTCAATTTTCATGAAAATATTTCTAAACTCGAACTTTTGTCGTCGTATTCACATTTATTTTTAATATTTAATTTTTTAACGTATACGAAAAGTACATTTATTCAAAAAATACGGTTGTTTTAATAAAAGTTCAGTTATTTATCAATTCAAAAGTCGTCGGTTCAAATCCGTGCACCTACCTATTTGACTTGTAAGTTATGTACATTATGTGAATGTTTATCTTATATGAAAGTGCCTTTTTTTTGCGACGGTGAAGTAAAACATCGCAAAAATAAAGATTTTTACGATGATTTTGATTAATTTATTTCATTATAACTTAATCTCATACAAGTAAAACAGACGTAAAGAAAGCAATGATAATGTTTTTATTTTTTTAAGTGAAAATAAACAATAAAAAAAGTATCTTAATTATATTATAAAATTTTCATAAAGCTATACAATTAAATCTTATTGCGATGCCTAAACTGCCTAAATGAGTACCTCTATTTTAGGCATCTTTGTTTATTATCTTCGTGATGAAATCATGCATAGAGAACGTGTGAAAATAAAGACCAATGAATGAAAGAACATTGACGAAACAGATTTATAAATATAGTGAGGGGAGGTTAATCAGGACCGACCAAGGCAAACTTACCATGGCCAAATTGAGGATGTCCTAAAGAAAGGTCAGGTCAAGAGGATCCTTAACCGGCGAGCATGAAAGCACAGGTGGGTGTTTCATGAGGCGAAATATGTGTGTCAGAGTCGTAGTAAGTATAAAGCTGTTGTCTCTACCAGCCCCAATGGAAAAGGGAGTGAAGAATATGCATGTATGTACGTTTAAAATTCCCAAGTGGTATTGGGCTATCACGACGGTCTATATATATAGCCTAAACTCTCTTTTTATGTGTGACGTCTAATGATAAAGAAAGTATATTCTTTAATAAATTGATATATCAGAAAACAAGTAAATTTATATTAAAAAAAAATATTGTTACTTTTCAATAGTTTCAGAACTCATAAGAACGATTCCCTTTTTTGCGATCCAGAGACCTACAGTTGTGCTACACAATCAATGGCGCGTCACTGACGGGAGAAAATTGAACCGACACGTTAGAATATTCGACTGGCTTTTATTTATCAAAATTAACCAGAGTAGGTAAGTTCACGCGTCTACGAACAAAGTGATATCGCCCCAGCAGTGAAAGGATAACTTACATTTGCAAAAAAATAATTATAGATATTAAACAAAGATCGAACACTTAGATTCACTTCGATCCAATGATTGGATTTGAACCAACGTCTCCCAGCAAACCGTGCTAGACGCTATGCCAACTAAACCACGACACGAACCAACGGACCTCACGAGTTATTCCATATGTTTGTTGTAGATCCTTGTTTTTGGTTTTTAACGACTTTTTTCCGTAGCGCCATCTGTGAGAAATCTATGAAAGTTTTCTTCACTTTCACAAAAATAATTGAACATCACGGCGGTGAAATATCCTGACATTTAATGAAACTTAATTACAATTATTAAAGTGACATCTTTAGCCAGCGGCTGGTAGCAGTAAAGGTACCTTGCCAAGTGACGAAAAACTTTCATAGATTTCTCACAGAGCTACGGCCAAAAGTCGTTAAAAACCAAAAACAAGGATCTGCAGCAAAACATTTTTCGTCCCGTCACTAGGTATCATAACAAAAATATAATTGAACAAATGTTCAATTATGTCCAGCAAATTCTTGAAGCATGACTTTCTAGAGTTCAATATCCACTTAATCTTATTCCTCGTATACGTAATTTTGTCCTATGTATGCGTCAGAACACTCTGATGTCTATGACGGATCATTATAGCGTAGTATTAAATACGAACGCTACAAGGGACGGTAGGAGCTATTAATTAGAGGCATCAGACTGGAATCTCATACGATTAGTGGTGTAATGGAGTGAGAGATGTAAGACGTTGATGTACACATCAACGCAGCAAAGGTTTACCAACATTTATTTCTAAAATATTATCCTGAAACATCAATTTTATGTCAGTAGGGTCATTCTTTTACGGAAATCTGACTTAAATTTCCAAGAAACAGGGACGAAAAAAATCAGTTCACTAATATTTTTTTAATTCTTTTTTAATTTATTTATTTATCTTAGGAATCATGCTTATAAATACTTTACAATTTTGACACTCTTAAAGATATGAATCTGAATCTGTTCTTCCATTCAATTCTATTCTATTCTTACTGATTCGATGAACTTGCTTATATTCTTTATAAAGTTCATACATGATCTACATAGATAATATTTAATTACATTAAGGTTATAATTACATACAGTATGGGAAAAATCAATAATAGAAGTAACCATTTAAACCATAATAATAATAAGTAACAATTTAACTAGCCGTAACTTACCTAGTCACGTAGAACCCTAACTAGAAAGAGCGGGAAGTTCTACCACAAGCAATTACTTTGCTTAAAAGGAGTTCCCCAGCTGACTGGCTGCAAACGAGGTTTAAATGTAAGTAAATAAACTCTTTTTATTTTTATATATTATTAACCATTGTTTATTTTTGCCCAGAATATCTTGTCAT